TTGCTTTCATTACAAGAGCGACCTCCAGGTGCTTGAAAGCTACATTTTTGCTGGAACTGACAGACGCCGATTTTGCCCCATCTCTTGCCTCTGACTTTTGATAACTCCAGCCTGACTATGAGGACCCAGCTACCTAAATTCCTCCGCCCAACGAACGACATGCGAAAAGCTATCGACAGAAATGCGAAACAAGACAAAGATCTGTTCAGTTTTACCAAGCAACTTGATAAGGAGAGGAAAATGGTAATTGAACAACTTTCGATGAAAAAAGATAATTTCAAGAAGGAGATGATCAAACGCCGGGAAAGTTTGTCCAATTTAAAAGCCCGGCTTTCCAACAACGTGGCGGACACAGGTCAGCCACGCCCTGGAGGAAACAATCTGGTTGAAATGCGGCTTCGAAGAGCTTTTTCTGCCGGAGACATCCGCAGTCCTTCATCTATCTGTCAACTGCCACATTTGATAAACAAGAGGCATAGTCATCCTAGTTCACCTGTACCAGTCGTCAGCCGAGATTTGAACGATAAGACAGGGGGCCTCAAAATGAAGTCGCCTCGACGCAAGAACGCTACGATAACCTGCGACTTCAACATCATAAATAGGCAGCTGGAGATGGAAGAAAAGTCTAGAAACGATGATTGTATTGATATACACCACAAGACAAGGTGCCTTGAAATGATGTCGCCTCGACGCAAGAACGCTACAATAACCTGCGACTTTCAGATTGTGAATGGACAGCTGGCGGTGGAAGAAAAGTCTGCGAACGATGATTGCAAAGATATACGCCTGGGCCCGTGCAAAAGTAAATCTCAAGAATGTGGCAAAGTTCAAAATACTATCCGAAGACACTTGACAATCGCGGCCCCAAATTTGTGGAACCGAAAGCCGCTGCAGGCACGAAGAATTACCCTACCCAGTTTGTCTTCCACTAACACATGCACTACGGTTTCTGAGATGTAGAATCCGTAACCAGACAAACTCAGTACTGTCCTTCAACAGAGCAGGGGTTCAGAGGTTTTTAGAGATCTTTTACATCAAAAAATCGGCCGTAAAAATATATTGGACTTTGTCGTGTTTTGCTCGGTGTAATGCCTTTTTTGTACTGTGTTGGCTTACATTAAGCTTTTACGAAATAAATTGGACTTGTCGTAACCAATTGATCTCTTGATTTGTAGGCCATCTTTCTTTGCTATTGCGCTGCCGCTCGAAAGCAGAAATCGGAAGAGCCGAAGCGATATAATTGGTGTAATGGGTCTCATAGGACCCACCTTATATACTTTTGTGCAAAATGCGATTTAGATACCAGATATATCTAAACCGCGGGGAAGGGTGTGGTTGTGTTATTTATTATAATAATAAGCACAACTACGTTATTCTTAGAGGCTGTCACTGGCAGGGCAATTATAGTGTCGTAAATTATTAATTTAACCTCTCGAACGATTTTACTTCATGATAATTACGACTTACAGCATCAGTTAAGTTCCTTCAACTTACTAGTAGTGAGTATCTAAACAGAAATGAAAAAGGCAAGACCAAAAAAACCTGTGAACGTCCACAAAGAGTAGCGACTAACAACATGTCTATTGATAAAAGCTATTCCTATACTAGTGGCCGCATAACTAAGCGTCATTTAGTAGAGCGCGGCGGAGAAATTAAAGACACTGTCGTCTTGCGCGAAGCGCGTCCCTATAACTCATGCGTGAAGCGCGCTCTTTTTTTTGGCTCGATGGCTAAACTGAGTCCTTCTCTCTCTCTCTCTCTCTCACGGTCAAATGGAGACTGCAAGCTAAACCTTAAAAGTTTTCATATAGAATTTTAAAGAAATTGATGAGAAAATTCAGCACAGTTGTCTTTTGACTCAGCTTTACTATCCAGTCTTTATGTGATTTGCTTTGTGCTCCTGACCGGAACAAAACAAAAGCAAAGCTGCGGCGTCTTGCAGCCAGCCGTTCTTCTGGTCAGTTAGAGATTTAAGGTGTAGCCTCAACTCTTTGGCCGGCATTTACGATATTATACTTCTCAGACCCACATTACGCCTGCTTTATAGCCTACGGCGGCTTGCGTGTTAGGCATTGCGCAGGGACACACCTATACCCCTGATTCGCGGGATAAGAGAATCACAAAAAGTCAAAAAGAATTTTACGATTGTCGCTAAATATTCTGGCTTTTCTACGGTTAACGGTTAAATTCTCTCCATTACCTTAGAAAGACATTTGAAGAAAAAAGTCGATTGTTTTGCAAAAAATTTCAAAAGTTGCCATCGGTTTAAGCCCTGAACCACCTTTCTGTGGCGAAAAGGGTCATCAGCCACCAAACAAGACCAAACAGGACACGGAAACTGGCACCCTGACATGACTAGGAAAACCTTTACAGTGTACTCCTTTTTACGACAAATGGTTAAAATTTTTCATTTTTTACGCCTAACGGTTAAAATGCTTAGCTGCTTTACGGCTAACGGACCTAGCGGTTAACCCCATTGAGACCCTCCAATAATACGTGATAATGCCTGATCCAGGCCGCCTAAAATACACACACCATCCGTCACGCACGTTATAGTCTATGTAATTATCGCATGATACATTACAAAGCAAATAGTACTAAGTATATATTATTCGCTACAGGCTTTTGGCACAATACGGGTGATGGGATTAACTTTCCCTTTTTACTCTCTGCTCTCACGTGCTTTTGGCCCTCTGTCGCCTTACGCACGTTTGACACGCATCACTTCTTTATGACCGTTCATTTTGGAAATATTCAGCCTGGTTTGATAATCATAACAGCTAAACTCGGTAAAAAATGTTGAGCGACCGGTAAAAAGTGTTGAGCAATCGCAGCAATTTATGCCCGGTGATCGTTTCGATAATTTCATAAATTCTTGTCAGCGATATCCGCGTAGCGATCCTATGGAGAGATTATTTGGGTATATAATTTTTTTAAGACTTAATTCAACAATCGAAATATTGATTAGACGGTATTTAAGGAACTGAACTTATGTTCAGTTCCAAGAGCAACTTACTGGTACTCATTCAATTTTTATGTGGAGTACTCTTCAAAATAGGAAGAAAGTAAACTAACCACAGCGTAATTTGAATTTATGAGACGGGATAATTATATGTTTCTTAACCACTCAGTCGTTGTGCAAAAGATAATTACCTACAATTACCATTATTTGCAAATATTTTAGCGGTCTTCTTTAAATTATTTCGTGATCGGTTTTGTAAGGTGGTATTGTTTAACGTGTGCTGATCTTGTATAGTCGAGCTCGGTACTTAACCATTTAATAAGATTTGCGGATTATCCGTAGGTAATAAAATTACGTAAGATTGTAGAATCAGTGATAAGCTGAGGTGTAAATGGCTAGTTCAAATAGATGAATCTTATTTAATACTAAGTGACTTTTACCTTGTTTTTTTTTTTTCAGTAACAACTTTTCTATAACGATTCACTGCCAAAGTAAATGAGTGAATTGTATTCATACATCCCATGCATTTGGCGGTGTAATTACACATTCACAAAGCCATTGTACGTGTAAACAATACGCGACTGCCTGCATTTTGGCACAAAAGTGAGAAGATAAAAAAGCCTGCATCTTATACCTTCGGTCTCATTCGCAGTTAACACCGATTCGGTCCCTGTGCATTAAACAAACCATGAGGAATCAGCTTGATAAACACCTCCTCCCAACTATTGACATGAGAAAGGCCATTGAAAGAAATGCCAAACATGAAGGAGACCTTTCACTTGCTCTCAAAAAGATTGACATAGAGAAAAGATTGGCTCTCGGACAGCTGTCGAGAAAACAAGAAGCTGTGAAGATACAAATGTTTAGAAAACGGGAGACTCTGTCCAAACAATTTAAAGTCCAGCTTTTCGAGCAAGGAAGTTTGGAACCTATATCTAGACCACGTCCAAATGCAGGATTGCAGAAGAGTCCTGTGCGACGCAGCAGATCTTATGAAGGAACGAGCCACTCGTCAAAGCCCCATCCACTCGAGCTAAGAAAAAGACTCAGCCTTCCATCTTCAGCTTTTTGTAGTTCGACCTCGGATGACTATGTCAAACCAGAAAAGGAAGCAAATGTGCAACGAATGGAACATATTCCCGCCGACCGCGAGAATGATCACAATAGTGAGATGTCGTCCGATAAATTTTGCAAGAAATCAGAAATATCCATCCGCAGGCATTCATGTGCTCATCCGCAAGAAAACAGCGATTCAAGGCTTTTACAAAGACGTAGAGAGACAATGCACAACTTGATGATGCAACACAGTATCGAGAATGAAATACAAACTCTCATTAGGCTATAACGCCTCTCATTTGACTGTAGCAAATATGGGATATTGGCCTTTAACAAGACAGAGAGACAGTCAAAAAGTTTCGTTTTAAGTAAAGATTTTTTTTAGTTTGCTGTAATATAGACGATCACCTTGCATACTGGTTTGGCACCTTCAGGGTAAATATCTGGCTGCAGCATTAATTGTTGTAAGAACAAACTGAACGCAAAAGTAAGTTTTAAACCGTTGACAAGAAGTACGTACCTTTCACGGGATAGGGCAGGCAACGCTGTATAATTACAGGACATCTGATATTAGATCATGAATATAGCTTGCAGAAATCACTACTGTGACTGAGGTTTGGACATTTAGTGCTTTATAGAGTTTATCAACTTGAAAACAATTTTGTTCTCCGATCTTAGAATATTAGAAAGAGATTTTAATAAGTCTTACATTGAAAAGACATAGTAGGTAGTAAAAGATTTGCACCTTTGTATAGTAAAAAAATAGTGATAATAGTAGTTAGTGATGCGAGTGTTATAATTTTACTTAAATGATATAGTTAACGTTAACGGGGAAAATTTTAAGGCAAAATAAAAGCTGTATGATATGGTATTGTCATTTAAGTAGACGTTTTTTTGTCACGACCTCAAAGTTGTAAAAGTAGAGATCAAATGAAATAAAGAGAGTGAAGTAATTTTTAGAGCCAACTTTCAGTGGAAGAATTTCTAGCCTGCTCCCACCTCGACAGAAACTCCCTGGAAGACCTGGAAGGATTCCTGGTTTATTTTTTGAGAACCTTCTACCTTGATGAAAAATAATCATAAAAGAATGCTGATTTCCTGCTTTTTAGAAACAAAATTCCTGGAATTATATTTGAGCAATTATGGCTCTTGAATAGTCTTGAATAGAATTACGACTTGTGGTGCCCTAAGACTTTCGCTGGAGTTTAATTTTCCGGACGGGTAATGAGTATTAAATTTCACGAGAACTAGTTTTTGGAAACGATAAAAAGTGTTTTTGCTATTGTGAATTAATTTTGCGTGAGGGAATTACAAACAACACTTTTATTTCTTGTTGAGTGCGTATCATCCAAGTCCGACAAAATTACGTTTAGCGCGGCGTTGCACCTGTGTGCTACTGCATAACTTTTCCTTTTTATTTCAATTCTATGATATCTAACTATTTTACCCCAATTTTTCAGGCACATTTCAAGCTTTTTAGGGGAAGTAGGGGAGTTGTTTTAGGGAAGAGTGACAAATATATACCAGAAGAGGAACGTTTAGAATACAATTTCCTTGGGATTTAGTTGAGTCGCGATCGTAGCGTACGTGGATGGAATGTAAGATCATGTCGCCTGGTAATCTCTTGACACGCCTACATGTATTTTTGCATGATGGATTTTGGCTAATAAGCTAATAGATAATTAAACAGGCTGAGTTTAATACAAGTAATCCTATTCAGTGGAGTGCTTTGCGTATTAGAGAATTAAATGGGCCTAGTTACTTTTTAGACCGGTAATAGAGACAAGTACTTAATTAAAAATGAGTTAGACGATAAAAGAAAACGTGTTTGTTGTTCCTTGTTTAGCGCGTACGCGTGATCAACATTGTACTCAGTTTGGAATACATGCGTTGTTCCTAGTGACGAGGCCTGGGGCGGCACTACCATCTATCACGTGTCATAAAGAATACAGTCAATCAGAAAGCAAGAAACCCGTTTCAAACATATTCTGGGGCATGCACAGGCTTTAACAAAGAATTCAAATGAAATTTAACATTTTATATAATTGGTTATTAATTATAACGAAGTTTGTTATCAATAAAAGTACAGTAAGCAACTTTTATAAAGAAAACAAATCAGCTTAACTGTGTTTAATGAAACAGCTTTTAAAAAAGCGTTAGCTAAGCGTTGGTGTGAATGGGGCTCATGAGTCTAGCTAGTACAGGGTAACAATATTGAATTCAGCTGAACTAGGTCTGGTCTTGAAGACTAAGTGTTCAAAGACTCCGCGGCATGAGGTACTGTCCGATCGACCTCCTTTTAGAGCTACAGATTCTAGACTTTACATGTATTACCAAAATTTCCCTCAATAAAGCGATTGCTGATCCCGATCCCTAACGTAGGATGGCTCGAATTATTTTATCAGGAGACCAGTTGCAGAGTAAATTGTACGTCGCCGAGTAATACGATCGAATAAACTGAGCAAAACTTGTGTTAAACAAAATAAATAAGTTATTTTTTTTCCAGTTCGTAAATAAATATAACAAAAGCCAGTTCACTTTCCTTACCGAATTGCGGTTGATGAAACATTATTCCTAAATTCCGCGACATAATATCGCAAGATCCTGTTTCCCCTTCTCATAATATTACTTCCTAAATCTCGCACCCCTTTTCTCCTAACACACGGGATCCCGACCCACAGTAAGCCTTATCCAGGATCCCTTAAAACCTGTTGGGCACCCGCGAGTCATGTCACCCGCGAAATCATGTTGATCGCAAAAAAAAATCGCTTGTGGATCCTCATGATGCTTCTCTTCCAAAGCGAGGCTAAGTGCGAGGCCAGTGATATAAAAATAATAAAAAAAAGATTTTATTTTTACTTTCGTGCAAAAAAAAACTCATTTTAAAAAGAGAGATTTTGCACTTGGCCTCGGTTGGAAAGTGAGGGATTTTGCAACTCAGAAATGGCCTATTCGAGACTGTCCTATTGAAAGCTATGCTATTTCCCCCTCGATCTCCACTACTTACGGATTTCTTCTGCGTAAAAAGACTGCGCAGGCACGTCAACCTAAAGACTCTAGCAGACTTACTAGCAGACGGTGCACTGCCTACCAGCCTCAATTGAGGGCCACCGGTTTATCAGTTTTTCTTGAAACTGTCAAGTTCTTCCCGCTCTAATTACAGTCATCACTCCTCTCCACAAAACAAATTCTCCGAAATGAAAAGCCCCTTTCAGCCTCACCTGCGGTGGAGACATACCCCTGGGATAATTTGTTAAGCGATGACACGAAAGAAAAGTTGACATCACAGACATCAGCTCCTTGACTGGGGAATCAGAGATTTGACTGCTCCCTACAACTGGAGGGATTTAGAATCACGTTTGCGGCAAACATCAGAGGACAATTTCTCAAAGAAGGAATTTAGTAGATAGGAAGTCAAGAGTTTAAAATAATTCGTATGAAATAGACCTTGTCACGGTTTTCGACCGGCATCTTGACGAGTAGGCAAACGCGTGAGAAATTACAGTGTTTGTATGAGAATCTAATGTCGAATAATTTCCGTAAAACGGCTGTTCTGAACAAAATATCAATCGTAAACTAAAGCTACAAAGCAAAGGATTGTCCTAAAACAATTTGGGGGCGTCCCTGTGCTTAAATTTCTCCAGAGGCTTTCTTTAGATTTTCCATATATTTGTCTGTAATTTTCCCAGGACTTTCTTACAGACAAATGTATGGAAAATTTTAAAAAGGGGTTCTAGGTCTTCTAGTGCATGTAACGCCCTCAAAAGTTTTCAGGAGAATCCTTAGGAGTGAAGCTTTAGTTTACAAATCATATTTTTTTCAGAACAGTCGTTCCAAGGAAATTATTCGACATTAGATTCTCATACAAACACTGTAATTTCTCACGCGCTTGCCTACTCGTCAAGATGGCCTCGAAAACCGTGACAAGGTCTATATAGCAACAGAACGGGAACGTCATTTGACGACGACGAGAAAGCGCGCAGAAAGGACTGTAATAACTCGACTTCAGGTGCCCAATTTGCCGCTCTGCCATTGGTCAAGCCAGTTTTTTAATTTGCGGGCACAGTCGTCAACTCACGTTCCCGTTCTGTTGCTAAATCAGCCTATTCTGAAAATCTGAGACGAAACTATTTGTCTTGCACGAGTGGTACAAATTGCGCGACGTTTGGCGAATCAAGCATGGCTAAGAGGCGACTGCGAGGACGATTTTCTTGTGACGCGATCCGGAAGAGTGACGACGGCGAAGAGAACGTCAAAAAAGCGTCTGCACGTGCGGCACTTCGTCATCTCTTTGTCGTTACTGCACAACTATGACCTGAAAATATTTTATTTTACGTTTTATGGAGGAGATTCTGAATTTGGAAATGGCTCTTAAGCCTCCACCTCCAGAAGAATTCCAATGAATTGGCAAAAAAAGTGAATAAGTGAGTTACAATAATCGCGACGAACATTGAACAAAAGCGAACTCACTTTTGAGCGACGTATTCGCCGTGCGTCGTCACCGTCGCTGGATCGTTTCTTAAGGGCCATTAGTAGCATTTTGAAGTTATGCCAGAAACAAGCTATCTCATTTTGGAAGTTTTATCATTTTGCGATCAGGTGAGCGCTTAACCTCCAATAAAAATAACCGTGCTAAATTTTCTGGTGAAAAAAAGTACAATGTGACTTTCCGGACTAGACTGATGTCTTCGCGGCCAAAACTAAATCAAATCTCGATCGTCCTCGAATCTAAAGGTCTCTCATACCTCGCCAAGGATGACAGAGCTGAGCATCTGCACAAGTCAGAAACTGCGGTACACATCTGGAGACAAGAAATCAGGTATCATTCCTGAGGGATTTCCAGAACACCTGCCTATTTTGCGGATTTAAGATGCCCCAGTCTTTGTTCAGTATTCCATAGGTCAAGACATCATTTTAATTCGTCAGGTGGATCTTTCAATGTTTTCTTATCACCGTTTCAGGAGCTTGCTCTTGCCGTTGATTTCTCTTTTTAAAATAAGCCTTCGCTTTTCGCCCCATTTTCCGCAACCATGTACTTGTTTACAATTGACTTCCACACTGTGTGCTACTGCATAACTTTTCCTTTTTATTTCAATTCTATGATATCTAACTATTTTACCCCAATTTTTCAGGCACATTTCAAGCTTTTTAGGGGAAGTAGGGGAGTTGTTTTAGGGAAGAGTGACAAATATATACCAGAAGAGGAACGTTTAGAATACAATTTCCTTGGGATTTAGTTGAGTCGCGATCGTAGCGTACGTGGATGGAATGTAAGATCATGTCGCCTGG